AATCCATGTAAGATTTGAGGCTTTCACGGCTGTGACTATGAAGAAAGCAGTCTTCTGGGATTTGGCACCGTGTATATGTGGTGTTAACCGACGTTTCGGAGGAACGTATCGCCTCCATCTTCTCACCGTCTCTTCGCTTGCAGATTTCTTGTATTTTTTCTTCTACCCTGAAGATGGAGGCGATACGTTCCTCCGAAACGTCGGTTAACACCACATATACACGGTGCCAAATCCCAGAAGACTGCTTTCTTCATAGTTAAATCCAGTTTGTTAGATTTCAACTCATTTTGAAAATTTTCTTTGTGCGTATTATCACTTTTCTTTGTAAAACATTCTTTCTCGGAAGTTGTATTGCTAATATCAGGCAACTAAACCAGCAAAGGAATCTCAATTAAAACGAGAGCAAGTAGAATTAGTACTCGGACTGCAAATGTAACATCCGAAATGATGGCAACGTTTACTCTTATAAACCTAAAATGTTATCAATCCAAACCCATAACATAATAAATATTGTATGTTACAGTATGTTCTATTAAGTCTTCTATTGTCATAATTTTGTTTCAGATTTTCCAGGCAAGTAGGAGCCAGATGCATTCTAGATTTCCTCTTTTAGCTTGTACTGAGGCTCCAGCAGCCTATGCTGTAACTTACATATTAGGGCTTAACTTCCCAGCCATTATCTGTAATTTTACTGGTATTTTTATTGTCTTATTTCCCTGATGTAGGTCCAATGAGGAACCGAAACACTTTGTTGGAAAGAAACATATGTCTGTCGGGGAAAATCATTTTTAATAAACTCAAGCGTGGAATGAGTCGATTATAAGTTACTAAATTACTGTCATATTTGACTAATTTTTCAGCGATACATATTTTTAACAAACTCCTGTAAAATGCCAGATATTTGGAGGCTAAATTATGACTAATCAATGACTGTATAAGGGGTGGGCCTTCTTGGTCCCTGCACCGCGACCACAGTCATCTCTTGTGCCTAAAATTATGACTAGCTCTCCGGTTTGCCTGCAGGCGTAATGGCCGCTCAAATGACAGCGTAGCCATGTTTGCTGGGAGATGGAAGTTCCCTCTCTTTCCTCGGATTGAGTGCCAAATGATCAATATCTGTTCGGGTACGGTCCTTATGATCTGACACGTCCATTACTCAGCACTACGCACGGTTCAGGAAATGTACATGCGACAGTACCCTCAAACTGAACAGATTAACCCTTCATAAACCTACCTTTTGTTTAAAGTGCACACAGTGTCTTCTGTGTGTATCCTATCGTTTCCACAAATCATATTTACTTCCTTGAACAGCATTAAATGGTTGGTCTTTGTAGCGTCATGTGTTTCATGTGAGATACGAACTGAATGCTTACGTATTATTCAGAGGAAAATCAGTCTTAATAGGCCCATGATAAAGTGTGGGGCCACAGACCACGGAAGTACTCGTATGAACATGCCATGTTAAGGTATATTTTCCCTTTGCAAAGTGTTGCACTAATTAGGTATACATTAAAATTATGAAATGTTTAAAAACAGGATTAAGTTCCCACTCAGACCAGTGCCCTGAGGGATCAGGTGATGGGTAAATAAACTTCAAAATTTCTAAGGCAATTGCTGTTTCTATTTAGGATGTGACGTCGTGTAAATTGCTAGACACAATTACTGTGTTTCTGAATATTATTCATCTTACTGCTTTTATTTAAAAACACGTTTCGGAGATTGGATTCTGTCTCGGTCTTTAGGTAGGCCTTGTGCAGTTGGGCCCAATCGACATAACTAGTCCCTACGTATGTCCCACCTGAAGACGGAGACAGAATGCAGTCTCCGAAACTTTGTGTTTTAAATAAAAACAAAACTATGAATAATGTCCAGAAGCACAATAATTATATTAATATACCATTGTCACAATCTTTTAGGGCTTGATTTTTGTTTCAATGTTTAGGAAGAACGTGCTACCTCCATCTTCAGGGTAGAAGAGGGGCAACATGTTTCTAGAATACGTCAGTAAAGATGTATAAGTTTGAACCACGTTATGTTTCAGACGATACTAATCTTCGTTGTTACCGCCGTGAAATGGAAAACAAATTGTTGCAAAAATATGAAAATCGTTTAACTAATAACAGAGGCAGATGACAGGTAATTTAGAATTAACTGAAAATATCTGATAAGCCATATTTCTGCTATATGCCGTGAATAGACTGTTATTTTTATTTGAGCTTTAGGATAAGAATAGTTTCGCCTAATACTGGATGAAGTGTTGCAGAAGGTAAAGTACTTCAAGCACAACAATGTCTCACGTCTCCCATTCAGAAAAGTTCTCTTATTGAAAAAAAGAATCACACTTCGTACGTTTCTGCTGTGCTTCCATCTGCACACCACTTTCTCTAAATGTTCATTCGTTTGTCACGCACCCCAATATCATCCGTGTTCATTTCTCTGTAAACCATTTATAGGGCTTTCTGGATTCTCACATTAGAGAGAGGTCACACTTCAATTTCCTTAGTTCGACTTCTATGACCCCCTTTGTGGTCTAGTGATCAGAGTACCTGGATACAGATCCAGAGGTCCGGGGTTGCATTCCCAACGCTACCGCATTTTCTGAGAAGCAGGTTCTGCAACGGGGTCCACTCAGCCTCGGAAGGATAACTGAGGAGCTATTTCAAGGACATAGCTGCTCCGGTCTATAAAACCGAAATTAACGGCCGTGGGGATTCGCTGCACTGATCACGTGACACCCTCTATCCGCAAAAGTTGGCACTAACTTCGCCGACAAGCGGCGGTCGCTCAGTCGGTATAGTTCGTTTACAGTTTGATTTTTTTTTTAATTTTATTTCTACTTGTAGATTTCGGGGACATCAGACAAGCCCCGGTTATCACACGCAACTCAATTGAGCAGAGACCGATACTCGCTCAGCCAGTGGATATATTTTTCGTCGTTTACGGAACCCTAAGTTTCGATACCGTGTTCACACAGCCCGTCACCGGTTCTTATCTTGAGCCATATGAATCCAGTCCACGCCCTCTAATCTTGTTCTTTCAACATAAATTTTAATATCCTTTTATCTCCACCTAGGTTTTCCAAGCACGATTTTACCCATCAGGTCGTCAGGCTAAAATTGCGTGTGCATTTCTCATCTTTCCATGGGTTACTTGCGAACACGGCAATAAAACTTTGGGTATCAAAAACACTAGCGGCTTTCTCGACTAGGTGGTCTACTATTAGCTTCTCAAAAAGTTGGCTTCTCATTTTTACCGTAACATATTCCTTCTTACAAAAGAAACTCCATAGCGTGCAGTCCGCAAGCTAACTATACCGACCAAGCAACAGCCGCTTGTCGGCGAAGTTAGTGTCAACTTTCGGGGGGTAGAGGGCGTCTCTTAGTCAGCGCGTAACGAATCCCCACGGCCGTTAATTTCGGTTTTCTAGACCGGAGCCGCTATTTCCTTAAAATAGCTCCTCGATTGTCCTCACGAGGCTGAATGGACCCCGTTCCAGATCCACTACTTCTCAGAAAATCTGGTAGTGCCGGGAATCGAACCCGGACCTCTGGCTCTTTAGCTAGGAACTCTGACCACTAGACCACAGAGGCGATCCATATCCCGTCTTATCCTGCCAAATTTGAAGAGTTTTATATGATTTTTCGACGAGGACAAATTAAGGCGCTCTTGGTTACGTAATCTTCTCCAGCCTCCTGTTACTTCCTCCCTCTTAGATTTAAATATATTGTGTGGTCTAAGGCATGTACTGTCTATGCTCGCTTGGAAACCAGGATCGTGGGTTCGAATCCCACTCAGGGCATGGATGTTTAGTTTGTGTATGTGCGTTTTTCTGTGTTTGTGTACAGGTAGAGGCCTTGCGACGAGCTGATCACCAGCCCAAGGAGTCCTACCGAATGTGTAAGATCTAGAAAAACCGAAATGAACGGAGAATTTCGTGGAGGCAGGCCTAGGCCCACTGGGGCAGTAGTGCCAAAGGGGGAAAGAATAAACCAACGGCTCAATTAGGTCTTTCTCACTTGAGGAGGACTGAAAGACATGAAATGCAGGGGTAACGTTATATCCCTGTGCTTCATTAAACATTACAGCATTAAGATGATGCACGCAGGAGTGGATGAACAGTTCCATGCTTTCTTAATCTCGGGACTATATGAAGGTGACCATTTCCACGCACTGATTGCTTTAAAACCCAGGGAAATTTCTCCCAATATTCATTGGATAGAGAGCGGGGTTGAAACCCAGAGCAGGTCTGGACACTGTGGAAGAGAGAAAAATCTCAGAACCTGCCTTGAACAGAACCCACTTTCTCTGGTCGTCCAGCCAGTGGCCTGGACACTAAACTGTTCACATATTAGCACAAGCAGGATGTAACACTTCTTTTCCGAGAAACACATTACAAAAATAAGTAATCGTTTACAATTAAACAACGAACTTCATGGAGCTGACTCTTTGGAAAGCTAATAGTTGCTCAGCTACTTAACTACCTCTCATCTTGCTTGATTTGATCATTTTAATAGTAGCTGGCGAGAAGTATAAATTAAAAGAAATTCAGTATGAAATTTTCTTCAGCCTCCTGTTACCTCTTCTCTCTCATGCTCTGACATTCTCCTGAGCATCATTACCTTAAAGTTCCAATCAGCGTTTTAATTTGGTAAAGAGAAGACCAAGCTTTATACCTATATAAAACTGCAGACAAAATTATAGCCCTGTATATTTTAATCTTTACGGTTTTAGTTAGCAGACAAGAAGACAAAACGTAATGATCTGAGTACTAGCAAACATTACCTGAATTGAATCTGCTCTTCATTTCTTCATTTATGCGAATTTGATTTGTCAGTGTCGCTCCCGAACACAATTAGTGTTACGTAACAGAAACAAAGACTTCTGTGAATGGTGTAAACAATCAGAATATTATTTTTCTCCGGGAAAACATTTCTTCTTCCAACATGAAAATATCTTGGATGAATATTTCTAACTACTTGGTATATAATTAATTAACTTACCATTTTCCTTTGGTGTCTGTGCTTCTTCTAATTCTTCCCTCTCTTCTTTTTCTTCCTCTGTCATTGCTCCAGCCATCCTGATATCTTTCCTCACTGAAACAATTGAAAACTCAGGTTCAAATTCCAATGCTTCACCCATCGATGGCGCTGCCTCGAACCGACTGAACAGAATTCCTGTATACCTGAGCAGTTCCTTCGGATATTTCGGTCGCTTTCAAGGAGAGCACAGAACCACCATAGCACGCGAAGGACGACCCTTCTGACGCGGGGTTTGTCCAAGACTGTGAGGGTTGTAGCGCCTGTCCGACCTTCTGGGTAGGAGCGACTTATGGTCAATGCAGGATAAGTACCAACAATGAAAAGGCCGCTTCCAGCTTTGCAGAAACTCCAGTGCCAGTCAACTTGAAAGCCATGCAATTCTGCAGCAACGCCAACTTCGTAAAATCAGTTATTGGATGATTGAACGATGATTCTCTACAAGTGCATGACAGTAATACATTCATCATATTGTAACGTATATGGAGTGTGACTATAGACGGGGATTGGATTGGTAATCGGTATGATTATAACACTTACACATACAGCTCGTAACTACAAGTAATTTTAGCGCTATTACTAATTCACGCACTCTCTGAAAATTCAATACAGCACGCATGAAGTATATTCAGTCCGCTGTATCTTCACCGGTTGTCGCCTGGTAACGGCTTCCAATGCAGTAGCTTCCTCAGCTTCCGTGTTCACGTCCTTACTTGTCGGCGACTGTCTCATAAATAAATCCTACTTTTCTAACTACCGTCTCAAGATTCTCTCGTAATCGTAGCTACTCCTTGTTATTTAGCCTCGATAAGGACCGCAGAGAAAACACATCTCTCACATTTCTTCTGTTGTTACTATCGCACAGACCGCGTAGACAACACCGCTTCTTAGTGTTGCGTGTTACGAAACTGTTGCGACCATAACCTAGCAACGGCTGTTATTCGCCTCCTTATTTTTCCGTCGTTACCTAGCAACTGGTCTACATGCCACACTATCACTACTAGAAGAATATCCAGCTGAAATTCATTAGAGAATAATTTATTTCGTAACTTCATCCGTCACGTCTTTCTGCCTTCCTTCCCTATTCATGCCTTTATCTCCTTACTTCCTACTTCCATTAAACAGGTGAAATAAGCTGCATCATTGTCCTTCAGATGACACAGTTTCCTACACAGGGCTGCCACCTGTGCAAATACGTGAGAAATACTCAGGCTTGAAAAAGACATAACACGCATACAAAATAACATGCACATAAGCAAAAGGGCCACGCGGTATCACAGTTGGTTGAGGCACTGTGCTACAACCCAGAAGGTCGCGGGTTCTATTCCCTGAGATCACTGGATTTTTCAATTGACCTAATCCTTCCAGTCGCACTATGCCCCTGTGGTCGACTAAGCCTCTAACAGAAATGAGTACCAGGAATCTTCCTGGAGATAAAGAGCGGCCGGCGCGTAAGGCTGACAACCTCGTCGCAATCTGTGAGCCGACTGTCTAGACAATTTGAGAGCCTTGGCTTCTCACAAACTTATGGACCTCCACGGCCAGTTGCAGGGATACCTTTTTTTTTTTACATAATTATATACCGTCTTCTAATTCAACGAAACCTATCCAAATTGGCCATTTACGATTTGATAAACCGACAAGAATAACTCGACAAATGTTTCAATTTAATTTTTGATACGTCCAGACCGACTTTGGGGCCCACCCAGCCTCCTATTAAGCAAGTGGGCTACTGGACACTCTCTGCCGGGAGACAAATATGCCGGGGCATCAAGTGGTGTGCTTACCTCCATCTACTCTCTGGTCGTGATGTAATACCCTCGTCTCACCGCTCAGAGCTGTCCGTCTTGAAACTGCACTGGCCGAAAGTCGCTTGTTAGGTGAGCGCATTGCCAGGTGTACAAGTATGTGTTATCTGGGAGCACTGTTCTGCTAAACATTACGGCATGCACTTCGATTGCTGCAACTGCTCGACTGGACGCATCGCAGTTTCAAGTTGAAATAATAATCTGGCATCAGTACTACATTCCTCTTCTAGCTCTAGATGACAGGATGAGTCAATACCGAATCTGAAAATGTGTGGAATAAAACTTGGAGAAAACTCCATAATGAGGAGCTTCATAACTTGTGCTCTATTCCAAGTGTAAATACAATAACCATGTCAAGGGAAATGAGATTGGCAGAGCATGTAACATGCATGAAGAGAACAGGAATGCATACAGGATTTTGGTGGGATATCCAGAAGGAAGAAACCAATACGAAGACCTAGAAATATGAGGAAGGATACTAAGAAAATAGTTCTTAGGGAGATAGGACAGGGAGAAGTGGACTCGATTGATTTGACTCGGGATAGAGACCAGTGGATGGCTCTTGTGAACACGGAAAATGCAGAGTGCGTGAATTAGCAATAGCGCTATAGTTACTTGTAGTTACGGTCTGTAAGGGTTCAATGAATCCAATTACTAATTCAAAAACCGTCTATAGTCACTCATACACGTGACAATCTCATTTATGATTCTAACTTGGAAAAGACATCTTACTATCCTAGCATAGCCCTACGATTCCTCATTTTATCAGCCTATCTCAGAGCTAGTTTACAAATCAAGTTTGTAAAGCGAAGCAATTGAAAATTGCACAAATTAATATAAAGGTACCCTTATACCTAAAGCATGACGTGAGAGGGTGTTTAGATGCCTCAGTAAACTTGATAGCTATGTCACCTGGTGCCTCAGCTCACGTCGGGATCGCCCTTGTTGGTAATGTAGAGAAGATATCTGATAAAAGCAGCTGCCAGCTTGGCTGGGCACTAAGATGACAATCTCGTCATTAGACTCGGGTGCTGCAGGCCACCAACACGCACATTTTCAATTTGACGTTAAATAAACAGAAGAAAGGAACCGGATGGATTCTTAATTGACGACATTTATAGACAAACAAGGTAAAGTTGTCCCCGCGTTTAATTAATTAATTGCCACGTCATGAAGACTTTCTCAAGAATATTTTAACACAAAATCCAAAAAGAAAAGGAAATGTAGGAAGCCCACAGTTAAGGCGGAGAGACCAGCGTGCTCTTCAAGTGGTCGGAACAGACCATGTATGACCTAATCCATGGTGATGATGATGATGCCATGAAGACTTATGGGGGAGTGAAGGTATAGTTCCACCTTGGCACTTTATCCTCAGATAAAGGGCTCCCGGTACTTATTGGTAGGAGACTGGGTGGGTCCCAGAGCTGATCTAGAAGCTGTGGAGTAGAGAAAAATCTCTTGTCCCTGCCGGGAATCGAACTGTTCCTCCATCCAGCCCATAGCTTTACGGACTGAGCATTTCCTCACACGCGGAGTGTAAGTCTATGTGAAAAGTTACTGCGATCTTGTGGGAGGGGAAGAGTTTCTCACTCATTTACGCGTTTTCAGCCCCTTCCTCCCGGATTACGAACAAATTGTTTTTTTAATGCCGTTTATATATGTATATGTATGTATATATGTATATGGATGCGTGTGGATCTGATCCTCGTCAACAGTTGAATGACTGTGAGGATCCTATTGATATTTGAAAGTTTATCCGTCAAGGGTCAGTGCCTGAACAATACGAACACTCAAAACATATTCTGTGGCCTGTAGTCCGCAAGCAAACTATACCGACCGAGCGACCGCCGCCTGTCGGCGAAGTTAGTGCCAATTTTAGAGGATAGAGAGTGTCGAGAGGTTAGCGCAACGGATCCCCACGGCCGTTAATCTCGGTTCTCTATACCGGAGCCGCTATTTCCTTGAAATGTCTCCTCAATTATCCTCATGAGGCAAGCACAATAGATCATTGTAGTTCGCTGTGCAAGGGACGAGAAGGCCCATCCCTTATACATTCATTCAATCATCCTCATGAGGGACCCCGTTACAGACCCACTACTCCTCAGAAAATCTGGCAGCGCAGTGAATCGAACCCGGACCTCTGGATCTGTAGCCAGGAACTCTGACCACTAGACCACAAAGGCGGTCGAATAGGAACCCCTAAATAAGCCCACCAAAACAACAAAATGGCGAATTGCCCATAAGATTTCGAATGAATTTCGCTAATGTATGGAGGCCGCCTCCTTAAATAAAACTGCTTAAGTAGTAGCTATATTCAGTGAAATAACAGCAAGCATACTACAGGCCCAAAAGCAAAATTTGGTTTCGTCGAAACCTGCTCTACCGGTCAGAGGAGTTTCATTTTTGTTCTGTAGTCAGTACCCAAACTATCAAGGTCGTTTCCAAGAATCGAAGACAAGTAAGCAAGAAACCAGTATAGAATTACTGGGTTTTTGGATTTTGTCCATCGTCCGGTATTCTACAAACTAGAAAGCATAATGTTTCGGAAATTGGATCTGTTTCCGTTCTCAGGATGAGACAGTACATCAGCTACTCATAGACTTCAAGAAAGCCTATTCTACAATATTCTCATGGAGCTTGGGGTACCCATGAACCCAGTTAGGTTGATTAAAATGTGTTTAAACGAAACGTATAGTAAAGTCCGTGTAGGTAAACATTTGTCTGATAAATTTCCTATCCAGAATGGTCTAAAACAAGGAGATGCTCTATCGCCACTCCTTTTCAACTTTGCCCTGTCCAACGCGGCGCCCGTGGTATATTTTTCTGCCGCCCTCCGTAATCACATATAACTGAGCCGATTTTTAATATTAATTAAAATTGTAAGACAAGAGACATTTTTGAACGTCTGAGTACTGTTAAATATTATCGAAAAATTTTATTATTATTATTGTTTATTATTATTATTATTATTATTATTATTATTAGTAGTAGTAGTAGTAGTAGTGTGGTGGCGCCCGCACCTCCATCAATGAACTGTGCCCGAGTACATAAGAACGTTGGACAGCACTGATTTAGAATGTTTATAATATTTGAGGTATTCACTGTAGTAAATGTTCATATTTCGGTCTCTTGCGTTACTACACCGTGTAATCTGGAAGGAGGA